CCAAAAAATGAGGAAACGGATCGAAAATATTGGGAAATCCCTCAAAAATATTGGGAAATCCCTCAACAATATAAGATCCTGATAAACCGGAATCCGACCTAAAAATTGAGGAAACGGATCAAAAAAAAACGGGAAATTCCTCTAAAAATTGGATTTGAGGGATTTCCGATAATTTTTGAAAAAACAGGAAACGCCTCAAAAAAATTCATTTTCGGGAGGTTTCCGTTTTTTTTGGGTCCGATTCCGTGTTGAGGCGTTTCCGTGTTGAGGCGTTTCCATAGCACCAGTTTGGTATCAATATTTATTCTGGATCTAACCTTTGTTTGAGTATTTGAAAAACATTTTGTTTAGTTTTTGAATCATAAATATTTACAATTAAAATCTATTTATAAATTTGTTCATTTTTATTAGGTACAAAATATACATACACTGATGCACTGTGACCCATACATGTTTGCAGTCTCAAATCATTTTGATTTGAACTGAATATAGATTTTGTGAATCTTGATATAAGCATTGATCTGGACTCAATGGAGGGAGGGAACCCCTGGACGCCATGAGCCTCCGCTATGCAGAAATGAGTAGCGCAACACATCAAAATTTGCCTGTGTAATACAGGAGGTTTTTTTTAAACTTTTGTTTTAAGTTTAAATAAAATTTTTTTTGAAATTTTTGGACATATAGTGGCATGAGAGGCTTCTCAAAAATGAGAAGTTTTTATTAATTATCATAAATAGTGCCTAATTATGACTAATAAAGTGGTATCTAAAACTTTAAAACATTTTTTACACGAAAAGGAAAAAATTTAGAAAAAAATTTGAATTGAATTTCATTTCATCTTTTATAATCTTTGATTTTAGCATTTTTTTTTAAAGTTCAAATTAAATCTAAAAAAATTGTATTTATTATTTAAATCTTAACATTTTTCAAGAAAAGGTATTATTTAAATCAAAGATGACAACAAAACAAACCAAGTTTACTCCAGAAATATTCTCCAAATATCATCCTTTCTGCGCAAGAAATGTTTAAAGTTTTATGAGTCCATATATGTTTCTAATCATGACAATCAATGAACAACTTTAATCTTTAGTAAAATTCTTATGCCACTACGTCAAATAAAAAGATGTTAAAAGTTTTCATCACTTATAAAAACGAAGATTTAAAAAAAATTGTGCTGTATAGTGCAGACCCGTTTACTGCTAGCGGAGGCACGGTCTGCATAGCGTAGGCTTTTTCTGCATAGTGGAGGCTCGGTGTACCTAGCGAATCTGGGAGGCTCAATGTCTGCATAGCAGAGGCTCATAGCGTCCGAGGGTGCCCTCCCTACTCATGCAGACATGGAGTAATTCAATTTCCCTTTGATAAACCATTGTTGTTATACCCTGCAGGGATAACATAAATCGAGGAATCATGAAATAAACCATGAAATATTAAAGTTTTCAAGGGTACCATTGTGAATTGGGCATACACAAAAAGTAATTCATACTTGGTCAGAAAAAGCTTTCAGCAATGCAGGGTCACTTCAAATTTCTTTAATTCATAATAACATTAATTGTAGTTTTTTGACTATATGGTACGATTCAAATTTTGAATGTTCCTGACTTCAGGTATCTTCGTCCTGCAGTTCACAGCTGGTCGTTTCATTGCTTTTAAAATACAAATGCTTCATGCAAAAACTTTAACCTCAGTACATACAACAAATAAAATGTAAATGTACAAGTTAGTTTTCGTACTGGAGCTGAATTTTCAGGAGAGAACCAATCATACCAAACATTTATTTACTATTGTCTGAGAAAAACAAATCCGTCCAGCCCGGAGACGGGTAAAATTGTTTAATTTTTACTATATTTGTTAATTTTTAATTTCATGAAAAATTTACCAACACATATAGAGGATAGAAAACTGTTGACGTTCTTAAATATTTTATTACCGGAGCTAGGTGTTGTATCATTTGCACTAATGATTGATCGGACTAATGTTTTAGTTGAGGGTTAGGTTAAGACAATTTCTAGGCCGAGAGCTGCGGCTAGGACAGGCTAGGGGGCCGAGCGCTGCAGCCACAAGTGTTACTGATCAGCTGACTTTAGTGCAAAAGTACGGTAGTTCAATTGAACATTAGAGCAAACGATATAGCATCCTGACTCCTGAGCTATACAGGATTTGACGGAGAAACACAATCCTGCCAGGAAATTAGACTGTTCATACTGTTTTTAATCAAATAAAGTTAAAAAATATAAATATTTATTTAGTAAAATCAGTTTACAAAGGTACTTAGGAATGGAAAAAATGTTGAAGACATAAACTGCGTTTTAATTAAATTGAAAAAGCTGTTGTTTTAAATAACATTAAAATATAACTAAAAATCAAAAACAAAAATATATCTATCAACTATAAAAAAAAATATCCATTGAAGTAAATTTTCAATAAATCTGATACAGATTATCACAGTTAGATCCAAATTAAATAACATCATGAAGAGCATAAAATTTTCAATACATTGGTCGGAATAAAATTAATTGCAAAATACATTTAAAACCATAATTTTCAATTGACTAGACATATCTGATTACAGGATATAGGTTTCAACACTGACGGTTATGACGATTATTCCATACTATTTCCTTATACCGATCCCTCTGAGCCCGGGCTTCAATGATTGCGCAGTTCTCAGTCTGTCTTACAGTCTGAGGTATGTCCACCTCAGTTCTAGGAAGAGGTCGGCCAAAAGGATCATTCTCATCGATCTCAAAAGGTACTTCGTCAAAGGAATGTTCTGCCATGTTATGAAGTATGCAGCAAGCAAGCACTATCCTCTGAGAGTTTTTCACGTTACATCGCATTTCTCTAAGGATAGGAAACCTCTGCTTTAATCTTGCATATACACATTCTGAGCTTAGAGTGCGGAGACCATTGAGAATCTTGTTGAAATGATGCTCCTGACGCGTCGATGGACTCTCATAATGCTTGAGTACCTTGAGACTTATAGGGTAAGCCATGTCAGCTGCCAGAAGGAACTCATGAGGTTCTTCATGGTTCTCTAGATCAGCTTTTGCCTGACTTTGTCTCCAGACACGCACATCATGAGCTGAACCAAACCAACCTGCATCTACTGAGTAAATCACTTTGTCATTAGAAACAATTTGGACATTTAAAGAATAAAACCCTTTCCGACAAAAGTAGAGATCAGCCCACTGTCTGACAGGAATTTTTCAAGGGCATTTCTGAAATCGGATGTGGCAGCCTTCTCGTACCAAACTTCTCATAAAACCTGAAGGAAGTGGTGCGCATTTGCTTCCTTTGTTGGGTTTTTAATCCAATCGTTCCTAATCCTGAGGAGGGCTTTAACCACATGAAAAGTGGTCATTCGCGCTGCATTCTGGCTCAATCCACCAATAGCTAGACCTGTAAACAGGGTTTTAGTAGAAAATTTAAAAAATCTAGCTTACAGAAAAGTTTGGAAAATGTTGTTTGATAATGAATTTAACTTCTTTAACACATAGAAACATTACCTGTGGTGTGTTGAAAACAAGCACCACTTAACTGCAGCAGAGCGACGGCCACCATATCCCGTGGGGACAGGGGAAAACCTCTTCTATTCACCCTCCTAAGATCGGCGTCCAAAACTCGGGCAATCCACATGACTGTCTCCTTGCCGAACCTTAAGCATGAATTAAATTACTAAATTACTAAACTATTTCTGGGAAAATTGTCTTACGACTAGGACAAGGTCGATCACCACTACTATGAAATTATACCATGGCGGAGCGCTGAAACCCTTTTCATAAAAATGCAGGTAAGACATAACATAGAGCACTTTTAACTCGTACGGCAATTAAAAAATCTTATTTAAAGATTTTACTTACACAATCTAAGATGCAAAAATCGTGGACTATACCTGCAATGTAGCTTAAAGGCTATATCAGACAGTCCAAAGAGATTTACATTGGCCTTCCCTCTATTTCTTTGGCCAATCCTTCGACGGTGAAAAGTCAGAAGGTCCTCTTCTCTCCTCAGGCGCTCCAGTCTCTCCAGTCTAGCCCTCCGACCTGCTCTCATCCTTCCTTAATAGATATGTAGGAAACGGTAGAAATATAAGAGCCTACAAAATTCTCCGTAACGAACAAGATGGCGACTTAATGTTTTTTAATTTGTGATTACAGCTGATAATTATCCGAGTCTTTGATTGGTTGAAAAATATCCGCGTCTTCTGATTGGTCGTTACAACTGAAGTTCATGGTTAAATTTATTTTAACTCTGAATTCATTATTTTACAGAACTTTTAACCACGAACTTAAAACTTGTGCATTCTTTAGTTTTAGACTCATGAGAACATGATAAATGGGTTGCCAGCAATCCCAGAAGGACCAGATAATCTACAGATTGGGAATACGGAGAGTACGGAGGAGGACACTACAGGTGGGGTTATATATGATGGAGTGTCTGGAGAGACCGATGAGCCGGAGGGAAACCTTGAAAGCGTAGAAATACCAAAGACATCTTTAGAGTGGGATTCTCATATTGAGTGGAACCAGACTATTGTTCCGGAAAATTACACAGTCAATTGCAGACGAGACTACTCGCAGGAGCAAAAGGATTGCCGAAAAACAGATCCTGAAGTTGAAGTAATGATTTTTAATCTGAGAATTTTTTATTGTTTAGGAAAGTAAAAGAAAAAAAAACGTTTTCTTGTATAATATATAGAGATATAATAATAAATAAAGAATGAAAATGAGTATTAGAAGCTGAGAAGGAACCGTGGATTAAGTTAAATATAAACATTAAGACATGTACTGCTTAGGATATTCTGGATATCAATGTTAGTTTTATTATTGTAACCTTATCGGTACATAAAAGCAATTTTTGGTATTCAAGATGGTTTTTTTTAACATTATAAGATTTTGTAGGTTTTTTTTTGTCTACAGGTTTTCACACTGAGATGAGAAGTACACAAAACGACATATACATTGAAACTATTTTTGTTGCTTTGAGGTTTATAATTTTTTTGCTTTTATAATTTCATAATTTTGAATTAAGATTAAGAGAACACATAACGACATAACATTGAAATTATTTTTTGTGCTTTAGAATTTTACCATTTTTTTGTCTTTTGACATACATAATATTTGATAAGAGTCGAATTTTATTTTTGACAGAACCAGTGCTGCCACGAAACTGGTAAAAAAATTCGAAATTAATTACATAATTTTGAAATTAAAAGTTGGTAAAGTAAAAAGTAAAATTAAAGACTTTGATTTGCAACTGAGTTCAGTACTTTTGAACCCATTCCAATTGCAGAAAGAGATAATTGTGGGGTTTAACTGCAAATCCGTAACTTTTTAAATAATAAGGATGTATTTTACATTGAATGTTATCAAAGTTTCTAAATAAAGGAATTTCGGGGCATTGTACAATTGGAAAGGTACATGTTTGACGAACAAGAGTTTTTAAAAATATTTCATATGAAGCATTACCATCAGAGAATTTAGTTAATAACAACGATTCGCCAAATAGGTCGACAAGGTGTTTCAAAAATAGTAAAATTAAAATTGATTTAGAAACAAAACGATGGGAAATGTTGTATTTAGGGGGTCCTCCAAAAAGATCATTAAAAACTTGGGTCAAACGAGATTCAATTTCGCAATGTACATAATGCTTGATTGAGGCAGGGTCACCTGTAAAATTGTGTTTTTCACAACTAAGGAATTCAAGAAGTATGCCGACTTTTAAGTGTTTTGGTACAAGTAAATTAAAAATAAAATCTGCAGGATCCAAGTTACCTTTTAGTTTGTGAATATTATCATGAATAGCAATGTTTGCTAAAGAAGTTAAAGGAAGAGGGTTTTTTTATTTCGCCAATGACGGAAATCACTTACACTCAAAATTCTGGGTTTAGGATCATTAAAGGGGCTATGACCCAACTTAGGTTTGGGGGTAGATAAATATTTAGTGGGGGAGTAAAGTGTCATATTAAAATAAAAATAGATCCGTAAAATGAGTGTGAATAAGTGATACAATAAAACACAAACCAATACAAAGATTGAAGGGTACACAACTTAAAACTAGTAAAAGTGTTAGTATAAAATATGTACAAAGTAGCAAAGTGTTGGAATTGCGACGGTTGAGTTAGTAGGACAGAACTTCTAACGTCGTTCCTGAAAAATAAAAGATGTATTATTTTTTTACCCTTTTAAATAAATTAGATTTTGTCCTATGTATAGAAGCAACGTATCTTGTGTTTTTGTGTTTTGACTGTTTTGGTTTTAGTAGTTTAATAGTAAGTCCAATAATTAAAGATACAGACAAGGTAAGAACACCAGCAAGGGAGACATAAATTTGATAATCAGGGTTAAGTAAGGGGTTTAAAAAATAATAAATAGTTTCAAAATCTTCAGGCGTTAGATAGCTAAAAATTATATTAGTATCAAGTGATTTCAGGCCAAAAAGGTAAATTGTATCATTGAAATTAACTTGAATAGTGAATTCAGATTGAATAAGAATTGGTATATCATAAGAATCTGGGTTAACCCTATTCCCGCTGGGGGGGGGGTCAATTTGACCCCCCCCCTGTAGTTTTTTCTACATAACTCAAAAAGAGCAAATTTGCAAATTTTTTTGCAGATTCTAAAAGTAGAGCACAAGAGCTTTCTAATGATGTATCATTTGTCATATTTGGATATAAAACATGGGATTTAGAGGGGACGGTCAAATTGACCCCCCCCCAGCGTATCCTGGTTTTCAAGTACCCCAGCGGGGATAGGGTTAAGAGAGTGATTTTGTGAAGGTTTGTGGGTTGCCGGGTCTAACAAGGTTAATTTAGATTGAGGCGGGATAAATACACCATTCAACGTGAGGAATGGTTTAATTTGGGCAGTAAATAGGATGGGGCAATTTAATAAAATTTTCGAGACGTGTTTTTGTTTTATGGCATCAATACAAGGAGTTTGAACTACAGATAATTGACAAGTTTTAATTTCGTGAAATTCTGAGCAAGTTTGATGATAATAAGTGGAGTTGTCATGAATGGGGTTGTATAAATGATTTAAATCTAAAATTATCCCAGCTATGGGGGTAGGTTTTAGAACTTGAAAAGTTTTGAAATCATGATCTTGGGTTAGTTTAACAGTGACTAATGCTCCTTCTTTGTAAAACGTTAATTTTTCGATGCGGTAAGTTTCCTTTTCATATGTTCTAATACATCTATTTAGATTCAAATTTAGATTGGTTTCAGCAGGAATTTTAAAGTTTTGAAGTAAAGATATAGCAGAATATTGTTTATCAAACAGAGCAAGGAATTCGTGTACGGTCCCTTTAATTGAAAGAAGAGAATTAGCTAATAATTGGAATTTTTCTCCTTCTTGATTTTGTTTATCTTCATCCATAAAAGAAAAAGATGAAGGAAATTTGTTATTAATTAATTGGAGGCTTTCAATGAGATCTTTGAAAGTTGATTGAGATATATGCTGACGTTTAAAAGTGCAGGGGGAGGGGAGGTGTTTATTGTCGTCTTGATTTATAAAGGATTGAGTTTAAGCGTTAATTCCCCTAATCATTTGTTTAATGGACGTTAAATCAATGAGTACATTGTTTAGTACCTTGGGTACTTCTGTACTTGGTTCAGGTTTAATTATTTGGTAAATTGTTTTAAACACGTCAAAAAGTTGATCAGTTTCATCAGTAGTAAGAGTGAAAATTTTAAAATCTAAATAAACCCTAGTGGTGGTAGTCTGTTTAGCTAGATCTGTTTCCGAGGTTGGTACTAATAGATCAAGGTCTAGGGCTAGATTTTTATTGAAATTGCTCATCAGCAGAATAAGTATGAGGAAATAATTCATGATTTTCTTGCCTGGGTTGAAGTTTTTTTTATATTAAAATGAGTTTGTTAGTTTGGGGGGGGGGGAATTCGAGGTTTAGATTATAAGTTTTAGATTGATATTTACCTTATACAGAGAGAGTGTTCTCTGTTTGAAGTTTTGCCCAGCAGTAGAACTGTAGGATTTGCATTGCTTGAGTTCTGGAATAATTTGAAATGGTTTGATCACTGTTGAAGATTGGGTGAGGTTTCTCCAGTATATTTGCATACCAGTTGTGTCCAAATCCAACAACTCCAGTAGTTGGGATAAAGATGGTTCTTGTAAACCTAGCCAGAAGTAGAGCTGATACATTAATTTGGTACCACAGGTGAAGTAGTACAGTTGATGGGATTTGGAAATTTCCGGATATTGGAGGTTGACCTAGTACTACAAATTCAGGCAGTTTACCTCTTAGACGCAGTATATCTTAGGAAACTCTGGTTAGACCACAGAAGAACTGTGATGTAATGAATTAGCCCAGGTCTCAGGTTGGTGACACATGAGGAAGGGGTACAAATTCAACTCAACAAAAATGGGTATGTTTAGAGGAGCTTTTAAAGCTATTTGCTTGAGATGAATGAGTAGATTGCGGTCAGCAGGTAGGTGGTGAAGAGCTTTGCCTTCCAGGTGTATAGTTCCTTGGAGAGAATTATTCATATGAGTATAATAATGGGTTGGCCATTTCTGTTCTACTGAGAAATCTGGTGACAGGTTCAGAGTTGGGAACGGTGAATTGGGAAGAGTTCCAGCTTTGTCTAACACTTGAATCCTGATTACTATTGCTTTATACATCTTGCCATCTGCTGTAGATATTTGACCTGGAGTTTGAGTCAAGTAAGATTGTCCTAATAAGTGAGGACCAGCATAAGTGCCAGTGCGGTACATCAGGTCATCAACCTTTGCTGGTAAAATGGTGGCATTGTTCCAAAGAGTCTTGAGGAAGATTCTGACGTTTATCTGGTTGATCTCATAATGATATTTCTTGTAATTCTGAGTTTTATCATCTAGTTTATCTCCAAATCTTAGGACTCATACTATATATGATACAGCTGAGCTGTCTTCTTTTGTCATATATCTTGCAACCAAATCAATTATGTTAGGCATCTTGAAAGGTTCATCCTGGATCTCGGCTTGAAAATTGGTGAATAATTCAGGTTGAGTAATGTATCTTGATAAATGAGGAAGATTGTGAATCTTCAGGGTTTCTCTGATCATCAGTTCTGATCTGGTCGTAGCGATAGTGTTAGGTCGTCTTTGTTGATTTATCTGTTGTATCTGGTCATGGGTAAACATATTTATTACTTCTGGCGATAGTTGATAATGAGGTTTTGAGTTCATCAAGTGAATCAAGAGGTCCATGATGGTGACAAAGCCAAGGTCGCACATGGGGCATCTCAAGGTATTATTGTGGAAGTGAAGATGGTGAGAAATCAATGTTGTGTTTATATAAAAACGGTGACAAACATTGCAAAATATTTCCCTCTTTTCGGAATGATTTCGGCTAAATCCACAATGTGTCATCAGAGACAAAAATGATGGGAATACTTCAGTACATTCTAGACAGAGCAGGGGTCCCTGGTATTGTTTTTGGAGTACATCTTGAACTGATGGATTGTCGCCTAACAAAGAACCATGTGTCATTAGATGGTTTAGATTCTGACGAGATGGTTTGGTTTGGTCTCATAATTGGATGGTAAAGTCATTACAATGACGACAGGTGAGAATCCCATTTTGCACTGTCCTGAAAGAGTTAGGAGTGCCAATGCGTCCTTCTTTTCTTGTTGCAACATCCCTAGCTTGTGTGATATTGCGAAACCTCCTAACCTTCTGTGCCGTTCTAAAAACATATTAGGTGGTTTACGAAAGCAGATTTTGCATGATCTGTCAGCAACAATAAAAACATCTTCATCTGCTTCAAGTTCTTCCTCTGTCCCAATAGACTCTGAGTCACTTTTGAAAATAATTGGTTCTTGAATTGGTCCGAGGATGGTTCTAACTCTTCCTGTCATCAAGGTTCCCAGAACTTCATTGTAGGAGTTAGGATGCATAAACGTAATGGGAATTTTTGGCGTGTGCCCTGATTCATTAGTCTGGGTTTGAGCAGTAGTGCCTGGAGCAAGGTTCATTGGCGGGCTGTCCCCGTTTGGTTTAATTGGTTCCGGTTGTTTAGGGAGTTTGGAATTAGAGTTGATCCAGCTGACCTAACTCCTCTTATCAGTGGGGACACTCCCATCGTCACTGTCCCACCCTCGGAGGATGAAGATGTAACTGAGGATGTTGTAGAGGATAGTAAGGAGGATGAAGAGACGGAGGATGTTTCACAGATGCTCCGAGACGTCATTGCTAGTTTGACAGAAGGAGATGAGAAGCATCCTGTCCTCTACTCCTGAGGACACTAACTCCCTCTAGCCTGCTATTGTCCCCAAAGTTGAGGTTTGGGACACAGGGAAGGCTTATAGAAGAATACAGGCTGTATCCTGACTCTACTAGGAAAGAGGCCAGTGATAGGCTGTCTAACCAGGTTTGGGATCTGCTCCGGATCATGCAGGAGCAGGTTGACCACCAGACCTGTAATAGTAAAGATATAAAGTTGATAGACGGACTGAAAGCTATATCAGTCATGCACTTTAGACTCGGTAAACTAACTGACAGAGTGCTTAATCGTCAAGCTAAGAAACCTTATAAGTAAAAGGGATCAAGGCTGATAATTATGTCATCAGATTATCTTTATCTAATATGATGTATGCATTTATGATTATGTAAATAAATGTATTGACATTGTAGAAAATATGTATATTACTTTGGGTGTTAATTATTGTACGAGCAAATAACTATATAAAGGTTTACTCTGTATGATAGAGATAGCCCAAAGTATAATATTGCCAGGTTGCAAAGATAACAACATTGCATGAGGGTTAGGTCCGAGTGATGGAAATAACCCAATCTGCAAAGTTGTCAGGTTGCAAAGATAATTGATCTAATACAAGTAGAATAACTTGAAGTGTGATCTTATCAAAGTTTGCTAATTTAAGTTTGCCAATTTATTGCACATTTTTTAGTAGTAAGAGAATACTACAACTCCTGAGACTTATTTAACCATTTTATACCTGGATTTATATTGATAAACATATATTGATAAACATGATAATCAAAAACACAGCAGTTTAAAAGTTTTAATTGGAATGTCTTAATCAGATGATTTTCCATGATTTTGAAAATGGACCACTGACAGATTTAGTTTGTTATTGTTGTTATATTTCTTTTTGTAAAATTCTGTATACTTTTGACTCTAACAAAAGAAACAGGGTTAAGCTTAAAACTTCAATGGCAACCAAAAATTCTTTATAACTTATGTTCCGAGATTAAACTAGGTCTGCAACCTTTAATTTATAGTTCCCCCCCTGACAATTTCATAATTTCAGTCTTTTAAAGTTACACTATATATATAAAATATACCTTTCAAGGGATCTTTGTCACAAACTCTGGTTTTTTATCTTTTTGCAACCTAATGTTGCATTCCTTATTTATTTCAAACTATGAATTGTTTTTAGATCAAAGATCTACATTTAAAATATCACTTTGCAGCAGGTTGAAAACATATAAGGATTAAAATATTTGAGTTTGTGGCAAAGACTCAATTCTTTTTCAACCTTTAAATAAAGCAAAATATAAATGATGTCATGCATACACAGTTCTAGACATTTGAGACATTCAGAATGGTACAATGAAAACAAATATGGAAATAAATCCTCCAGATGTCATAAAAAAATATTACCTCTGGAATTGGTATTCAAAGTAATGGACTGAAACGAAAAACTATTTTTTCAGTTTTTCTTTGAATGATTTTTTTCTTTTTATTTTGAAAATGGAAATCAAATTTTTAAGTATCTTGTTTGAAATGAAAAACAAATATTTTCAGATTTTAATTTTGAATTAACACTAATTTATTTCAGTATTCTGGCTTTCATTGTGAAATTAAAAACTCAAATAAATCGTTATTTATTTTAAGTTTAAAATTCATTTAAAGACTTTGCCAAACTATTTTTCATTTTGAAAATTTAAAAATGATTGTTTTAAAAAAATTCTGGTTTGAAAAGCTATCATTTTGAAAAAATATTGTTTAAGTTTAAAAACTAAATGATTTCCAAATGGACGCATTTTGCACACAGTGAGACTTTTGTATCTTCAGCGATTGAAGGGTTCATTTAGTTTGTCCCTGACTATACATTGAAAGTACAGATGTTCTAAGATATCACTAAAAACTTTGTCATAATGTAAAACATTATTTAAAGACCTTTTAATAGATCCAATATTTATCCTTGTAACAGTCTTATTTCTCAACTAATTTATTTATAATTTATTAAACATGATACATTTTAAAAAAAGGATGTAAAATGCAGCAAAATTAAACACTAATGACTGATGATGTTGAACAGCGTCAATGATCAATCCATGTAGCATCATAGGTCTGAACACAAATAAACAAAACAAAGCAAAAAAAGTTTTGAATTAATACAGTAATAATATATATACTTTGCTTATCTCTCTGGGTTTCTGTTTGTCTATATTCAATAAAATTTGGAACGCCCTTTCATTAAGACTTTAATGCATCGATTGTTGATGCTGAATGTGGGGTTTCAATAATTTGAATATTTTTTTTTGAATTTAGGTTTTCTTTTAAAAAAATAGATCAGGAGGGGAATTGAAAATAAGATTAAACCAATAATCTGATAAAAATCAAATGCTCAAAATAACTATAGACTAAGACCAAACAAACTGTACCAAAATAAAGAAAACTGTTAAGATATGATTAAAAACAGCCCAATTAAATGAAAGCAATTGTTCAGTGTACAATGAGAACCAGAACATTTTAAAGTTTGAATTTACCACATTCATTAGTCCAATGAACATGAGACACATCAATTGTGAGCGGGGAAAAAATCATCATTATTAGAGTACTTTCTAAAAACCCTTTCATCAGAGACCAACATGACCATCTCATCAGAGACCTGTATCTTTTTATCAGATTCTCCCAAGGATTTTTATTGGAGATCTTACACTTCTCACTGGAGCCCACCAAAGCTTTTCATCTAAGACCTCAGATTTTCATGAGAGACCACTATCTTTTTGTTTAAAACCCCCAATTTTTGCTGCAAATCCTAAATATGGAAACTCTACCCAGATTTTCATGGAAGACCCAAGATTTTTATCAGAGATCCCAAACTTTTCAATGGAGACCCAATGAAGTTTTGCNAATTTCCATTTAAAAATTGTGGTGACTTTATTGAAAATCTTGGGTTTCCCAATACAAATCTAGGGTCTCCAATGAAAACACAGTGGTCTCTGATAAAAGTCTTGAGGTCTCTGGTCATGGTCATGGAGTTATCAAATGAAATGGGGTATCTGATAATAGTCTAATAATTAGAGATGGGTGTGTTCAGTTTATTTCATTTTCATTTTTTCATTTCATCTCTACCAATGATGATCATTTTTTCCCAGTCTCATCAATTGTGTAGGCTAAACAGACTCATTTCCAATACAAAAAAAGGGATTCTGTAAGTTACAAGTAGAACTATTAACTTTTTAACAACATCATAGACACTTTTCTTGCTATAATGTTGTTTTCCTATTTAATAGTTTTCTGGTTCTCACTGTACACTGGCATATTTCTCATAATAGGTTAATTTTCAAGCTAATTTTCATGTCTTACTAAATTTTTAGTGTGAACAATAGTGCATAAGCATGCAGTGTAACTGAAAAAAAAAATTTGGTTTGCCTGATATGATATTGAGGTGTTTGATTTAGGCAAAGCCAGATACTTCTGATGAATCATATGAATATTTGTATCATTATATTTGACCTAAAAAAAATTGCTAGTTTGTCTACTGTAAATGATTGGAAAAAATAACATGTTTAAATTTTTATGCAAACTAAATTCTTACAAAAGCCCCAGAGAAGAAAGCTGGACCTGTACGCCAGGGTACACTGTTTGGGTTATTCTGTACAAAAGAATGATCATAAAATAGGGAAGATTCATGTACATCTGTCAACAGAAGTTAGAAGTTGGTGTGATTATTGTTTTAAAATAAAATTAAATAGGAGTGACACTTTATTAGACTTGATTAATTAATTACCTTAGCATTGTTTAGATTTAATAAAATTGATATTCAGATCACTTACAGAATTTTGCTTGGTTATTCTAATTAATGGTTTTAGTTTAGATAAATCATGAAATATTATTAATTAATTTTCAACTGATGGTCACATTAATTCAGACCATGTTTAACTAAAGGTCATGGAAAAAGTGAGTCTATATAATTTGTTGTGCTGTATTTTATAGATACTAGAAATTCAAGGCAATTTGTGCCCTTCTTTCTAGGCTTTTAATAAGGTGCTTTGCGCACATCTTCTATTTAAATTGTGAACATGTTCTTTTTGTTTACATTTTAAAACAAAGAAGAACAAATTTTTGCGGATGTAAAAAAAAAAAATTTGCGGATTTTCAAAAATCTAAATTTTTTTACAAAATTAAAAATCTTTAAAACACATTTTTTAAAAATGTTCATCATTCATAAACCTTCCCTGTGGTCGCGTGATGTCCCACAAAAAATTTGGGCTTGATCAGTTTAGCCGTTTTGATGTTTATTGGATACAAACAAACAGACAAACAGACAAGCCAAATTTATATATAGATTTCACCTGAGACTAACTGTCGATGTTTGTCTTTGAATGTATTAGTAACAAAGGCGTTCTAGGGGGGGCCATGGAGGTAAGGCCCCCCTGTAAGGGGCCCAAGAAACATCTTACTCCTCCATACAAAATGTTGAACAATGTTGACAGTTCTAATTGTTTCCTACATATACTTCGATGTTGAACCTCCTCTCAATTGTTGTGATCTGATCAGTCAAAGATAAACCTTACTTTATCTTTCAGACGTAAATAAGCCCATGGTCAATTAAGTAACAAGGTGAGATTATAACCCTCATATTAAATAGAACATGAGTAAATACAAGTATACAGTAATACTAATCACATAATTATTACAGGTTTTGCCTAAAGAGCTGAGGATGCCTGATCTCTGGGTTGAAATCCTGGGACCCCACTGATGAGATGAGATGATTCCTTGTCTGATAGAGGAGAGAGAGATCTTTAGCCAATGTATCCAGAACTCCCTCAACATGCTGGAGCAGATCAGCTCGGAGTGTATCCCTCTGTCTGATAGCATTGCTCAGGATTCTCCAATCCAGGAGCATTACATCCGTGATATCACACACAGAGTCTATACTCTGAAGTGGATTAGATGGAGACTCATAGTCCAGGAGAAAGAAGTATTTGTCTTCAGAGCTGAGGTTGGTCTCCTCACAGGGACTCACATCCCCCGTACTTGGGTATGAGTTGCTGTAAACCGCATCCATCCATATATCGTACAGCAGGACCAGTAGACAGATCAATATCAAGGTTATGCAGGCAGGGGCAGGGGTACTAGTGTATCAGGCTGCAGGGTCCTCAGTCAGCTCCTCAAAGTAGCGTGGATGGATGGCGATGGGAGGGTTGATGGAGTTGTAGATCGGGTAGAAGATGGCGGCATCAGGGTTTATCTGGTAGTACGCTACAGGGAACCTCTTGATGTGTTAACCTTCTGAAGATCTCCGTAGTACTGTTGAGGTGGAGGGATCCGAGAAGCACGGGTATCCTGTCTCCAGTAGCATCATCAGGCCAGGGGGGAGTCGGCACCTCTCAATCTAAATATGTATTGAGGGACTGTTCCCAGATTATATCAATCTCCTAGATATGGATTTAATCTTGTTAATCTCAGAATACTTCACAATCTCATAAAATCAAAGTTGGACAATGGATCAATTTTTGGTAAAATATCTCTCAGTGCTTTCTTTTTTGAAGGACTTTAGTAAAATGCCTTGACAGATATAAAGTACATGCAGGGTTGTTAATCATTTTTAAAAACGTTTGAAAAACTATTGTTTTTGTTTATTTTTTAAGTTAAGATAAAAGATTTTTTCCATACAAGTTTGCCCATCCATCATGTTTGTCCCAAACTTCAAATATTTCCCCCAAAATATCCTGTTGGTAAGGTTAATTTTTTCATGGTTAAGTATAATTAGCATTTTTCTTGCCCCCTCCCCCCCCCACCATAAATATTAAGGGGGGCAAAAATTTTTTTTTTAACTACTTCATGTGGTGCCATGTGAGAAGTTAAAATGAACAATAGTTCAAACTTACTTTCTTGCTTGTTAAAACTAGGTTTATATTCATTTGAACTATTATCACAATGTAGATCAAATGAGCCCCACCCTAACCGGTGCTATGGAAACGCCTCAACACGGAAACGTCTCAACACGGAAATGCCTCAAAAAAAAGCGGAAACCCCTCAAAAACCGGTTTTTTTGAGACGTTTCCGCAATTTCTGCAAGAAAAACGGAAATCCCTCAAAACCCAGTTTTTGAGGGGTTTCCTCTTTATTTTGAGGACGCCTCAAAAAAAAGAGGAAACGCCTCAACAAAATAAAGTTTTAAAACTTTTTTCAAAAAACGGAAACGCCTCAAAAAAAAGCGGAAACGCCTCAAAAAAAAGAGGAAACGCCTCAACAAAATAAAGTTTTAAAAGTTTTTTCAAAAAACGGAAACGCCTAAAAAAAAAACGGAAACGCCTCAAAAAAAAAGAGGAAACACCTCAACTTTAAATATTAGGAAACGCCTCAAAAATATTCGGAAATCCCTCAACATTTTCCAGTTTTGAGGGATTTCCCAAAAAAAAACGGAAATTCCTCAAAACCGGTTTTTGAGGCATTTCCGCGTTGAGACGTTTCCGTGTTGAGGCGTTTCCATAGCACCCCCTAACCAGGCTCAGCGTGAAATTTTAAGTTTTAATAAACATTTTTTTCAAAAAGTTGGTTATTCATAAATGGTCATTTGAAAAGCAATAGTTATTAATTACGATCATTTTTCAAAATGATCGTTTTTGTAAAAATTGTTGTTTTGTTAATGATCGTTAACAACGACCCTTTTTTAACGATTCTTAACAACAACCCTTTGTTAACAATCATTAATGACGACCCTTTATTAGCGATCGTTAACGACAACCCTTCCTTAACAATCTTTAACGATGACCCTTTCTTAACGATCCTTAATGACTACTCTTCCTTAACAATTGTTAACAACGACCCTTTGTCAACGGTTGTTAATGAAGAGAGGAAACAGACCTGCAGGGCATCTGTACTTATCATTGAGTAGCTATTAACTTAATATCAAGAAGTTTTAGCTCCCCCACAAATTTTTAACTTTATGTAAGACAACATTCAATAAAGTTGCATGTAATTCTTTTTTCAAAAACTATTATTTTTCCAAAAACAATCGCTTTTATAAAGTTCGTTGTTAACGATCATTAATGACAACCCTTTGTCAACAATGGTTAACAATAACCCTTCGTTAACAATTGTTAACATAATTTTCAATAGAAATAATTTTTCAAAAAGGATTATTTTTTCAAAAGTAATCGTTTAAAAAAACAATTGTATAAATACCGGCCACAAATTGTCTTCTAAAGCGAACGTTTTTCGTTTTCTAAAAGTTCAAAATGAGTGCGTCATTTTTAAAATCGATCGTTTTTTTCTTCCCAAAACGAAATGTTCAATTTTGAAAACAATTGAAAACGAAACAAAAAACCATTGTTTAATGATCGTTTTCAAAAACGATTAACAACCCTAAATATGTGTCACATCTTGATATTAATTTAAAACAAAAATAAAATTTGTTATGGCATTTTTTAGTACCCTAACTATTTATGTTATCGGTCTATTGTTTTTCAAATTCCTGGCCTTGAAAAATTGGGCTTTAAACATGCATTTTAAGCAATATATATACTCTGTGACCTTTTCCTAGAGGGGGAGGGGGCGTGATGCGTCCCCCTTCCAGGCCATTTTACATAGATTATGACCCACCAGCTAGCCTTTTAAAAATTGTTCAAATTAAGATCAAAGTAGTTCAGATAAGCAAAAATATAGTTCTAAAATGAACAAAAAAAGTTCAAATGAATTTGTTTAAATGAACAAAAAATAGTTTAAATAAATTTGAAAATAAATCTAATGAAACAGTTTTAATGAACAAAAAAATAGTCAAAAGAAACAGAATTATTTCGAAATATAGCAATAGTAGACTTTGATTACATAAACATTTGAAATATTTAGCCCAACAAAAAAGTATAAAATAGCAAATGTGGACAATCTACATTGAATGGGTTAAAATGGTGTCTAAAGTTACCTCACAGGACTTTAAATCAGTACCTCTAATTTACTGTGAAATTTTAGTCTTGCACACATAATCTAGACTGGACAAACACCAGGCTCGAATATATTTAGAAGACGACATTCTATAAGTCCAGTGAAGCCAAGAGGATACATATTTGTAAATTAAGATACATTAGTACCCCTTGCAATACAAATTTGTGTCATTTTATAACGTAAATGTTTACAAAATTCTGTTTTGTTTACTTTTACCATCAGTATAGTTGTACTATAAGTACATTTAACATGCAATTAGTTTCTTGTTATTCTTTGTGACTAATATATATAATAGGCTTTTAGGGCGCTTCGCGCCAATCTTCTATTTTAATTGTGAACATGTTCTCTTTGTGTACATTGTAAAACAAAACAAAAAAAGTTCGCGGATTTAAACAAAAATTTTTGTGGATTTTCAAAATTTGAAAAAATTTAATGAAAATATCGAATTTTGATGGAGGCAAATTTTTTAATTTTGTTCATTCATAAACCTTCCCTAGGGCCATGTGAGGTCCCACACAAAAGTTGGGTCCAATCGGTTCAACCGTATTGACAGCTATTAGATACAAACAGTAAGATAAAATTATTATTTTTTATTTATTAGAATCAACAAAATCTATAATTTATTTAATGTTTCCATTATGATTGGTAAGGAAATTGTGATATTAAAAATCTTCAGTACAACAAAAACTACTTAATGTGTATATTTGGCCTTTTTTGTTTTCATATTATCTAATATATAAAATATAGGAACTCTTCAGTTCAAAAATCTAAGGGCATTTAAATTGTTATAATTTATAAACTATAACTAAATTTTGTTCTAAAATATTTGTTATTTATTTATATTCTCTGAATCAATTATTTTTATTTTCTTAAAAGTGGCTCTTAATAAAAATGGTTTCCCCACCTCGCATAGTTTAACTGTAATGCTTACCCCACCTCGCAGGAATAATAAAGAAAATCAATGTGTAAATGTTGTCGACATATATTTCTGATATTCTCTCGGCCTAGTGTTTGTTCTGTCTGGATGATGTGTGCACAGTTTAAACTTCTATGAAACTTTGTTGTACTTCTGATTGTTCTTGATCAGAGTGAACAGTCCCTTGAATACAACTGGATACCAGGGATCAGTACAACCCAAGCCGTAGCATTAGACACAAGTTTCCTGCACACTACCGCTCTGGGTCCTGTGCTACTTACAGCGAACAAATAGTATACAGAGGGAACCTTTCTGGACGAGCTACACCAGGAGAAGATGAACCGGGTTTCTATGATTGTGCCAAACCCCGCCTACATTGAAGAAGTTGAGCTGGATGAAGATGAGGTTGATCCAGCGGACCTCACTCCTCTTATCAGTGGGGACACTCCTATTGTCACTGTCCCAGCCTCGGAGGATGAAGGTGTAACTGAGGATGTTATAGAGGATAGTGATGAGGGTGAGGAGATGGAGGAACTTGATAAGGAAGTTGAGGAACTCCGTAAGGAGGTGATAGACTTCCTGCACCCAGTCCTGGGGGCACATGCTCCCAACAGCCCCCTGTAGTCCCTCGTATTGAAGTATGGGACACAGGTAGAGCTTGGGAACTTGAATACATACTGCACCCTGATCCGAGTATAGATGAGATCAGTAGCAGGCTGTTCAAACAGGTGGTAGACCTGCTCAGAATCATACATGAGCGGTTCAGCCAGCAAACCTGAAATAAAAGAGATATAGAACTGATTGACGGACTGAAAGCTATATCAGTCATGCACTTACTTGGTAGATTTACTGAGAAGGTGCTCAATAGTCAAGCTAGGAAACCTTATAAGTTAAAGGGATCAAGGCTGGCAATTATGTCATCAGTTTATCTTTATCTAATATGATGTATGCATTTATGATTATGTAAATAAATGTATTGAAATTGTAGAAAATATGTTTATTACTTTGGGTGTTAATTATTGCATGAGCAAATAATTATATAAAGGTTTACTCTGCATGATAGAGATAGCCTGAAGTATAATATTGCCAGGTTGCAAAGATAAAAACATTGCATGAGGGTTAGGTCCGAGTGATGGAAATAACCCGATCTGCAAAGTTGTCAGGTTGCAAAGATAATTGATCTAATACAAGTAGAAGTGTGATCTTATCAAAGTTTGCTAATTTAAGTTCGCCAATTTACTGCACATTTTTAGTAGTAAGAGAATACAACAACTTACAAGCCAAGCAAATATTTGAACCAGTTTGGAGAATTTAATAATTATATTGGCTTGCAGTTGTTTCTAACAAATACAGGGCTTTGGAGAATAGAAAAAGTAAAAAATAATGAACATTCTCCTTTTTTATATTCCACCGTAAAGCTTTCATCACAAACTCTAGAAACTTGGATCCCTGAAATAAACAGCCAAAAATTAAAGAATAGAATTCAGAGTAAAATTTTAAAAACATTTTTAATTATTTTGAATAAAAGTTCAAAGGTTTAATTCTTTTAATGATGAAGTATGACAGACACACTTGCAGTTTTAGTAAATTTTTTGCATGCTGTTTTATTTAAAAGACATATTAATAATTACTTTCCAGAAGTAATTTGTAAAAACCCCTTTGGACAAAAATGTTCTGGATTTTGCTATTATTTAAAGTCTGCTGGTGTAAGTTTAAACTGCATGCTACTAATATCATGGTTTCACTCAAAAAATGTTGATTTTTTTAAAATGATAAGAAATACAAGAACTTGTTATCGCTCAAATTTGCAAAACTATTTGTCTCTAGAAAAAATATTATGGTCACCTTTGGAAATCCAAATACAGAATTCTGAATATTATTCCACCCTGTTAACAAAAAATAAAATGAATATCTTTCAAAAAAGAAAATTTTCCTGGAAACTGTGATTATTATTGGTAAATCTGCAAATAAATTTAGAGGGTACTTATCATTATTAAATGTGGTTTCAAAATTCGCTGAAATTTCAAAAGACTGATAACACTAATTTTCACAAATTCTACATCAAATAGAATTAAGGAAACATCATATTGAATGTTTTATTCATAATGAAGACTCTTTAACCCGAAACAAGTTTAATATTGTTCTCAAGGTTTCTCTGATAGATAAAATATGTTTGTCAAACTTTTTTGATTTTGTTAAACAAATTTTATTTGAATTTCACGAAAATCTTGAAATATTTTCAGTAACAAATAAAGCATTTCTGATGAAAATTAAAAATTTTTGCAAATGAGAGTTATAAAAAATTTGGCTAATCAAAAGTGATTTATAAAAAATTTGGGAACTATATCAATTGAAATCAGTTAATCTTAACATACTTGAATTTTGAAATGTAAAAAATTGAAATGTCTGCAGGATTAAGAAAAGTGTATGTTAAACAAATTTTTTTAGTACAGGGTTACATACAATAAGGTTGAGACTTTAATGACAACCTAAAACTCTAATATTTATTTAAAAAAGGTAGATAATAATAAAATAAAAGTCTCACCATCATAATTTTGTGAAACGAAACTGTATGTCAGCAGACTGAAGAAAGGTTTTAAACTAAAAATCCAGAATTAATGAATCCTAACATCTGAATTATCAGTATATCATTCCATTGAATTTTGAACAGTGGTTAGAAATCCATAATTTAGTGAATTTAAAAAAGCTCTACATTTTTGTGCATTGAGTCTTTTCATTATAGCAGTAAAATTAGTAAAAATCAAATCCTGCTTCCCTTAGGGTTCAGTCTTTGTTCTCACTCCCTTTAAAGTTGTATTTCTAATTCACAATTGTACCCTTTAAAAAACCTTCATCTTTAATAAAATGATTTTAAGGTATAGTTTTGAAACTTAGCTTGTCATACAATACAGACTAGGAACAGTTACATGTGCCCCAGAAAATAAGATTTTGTATTAAAAAACTATTTTAAAATTCAGCCAATATTATTTTGTTAATTTTAGATAAAATTAGGATTTAAAACAAAAAAAAATACCTAATTGAATCAGTATCAAAATATACACCTCCATTTCTGTACACTATCTGGATTAGTACAGAAAACATTAGCTTGAAATGTAAAAAAAAATTTGCCTTAGTCTAAGATATATTTTCAATGCTTCGATGATCACACATTTATATTTTTTATTTTCTATATTTTTTATTGATAATGTAAAAAATGTTTGAAAAACCTTAAAAAGGCAAAAATTGACGTCAATGAAGGTATTTAACATACCATTGTAGAACTATTATTGTTTAAAAGACTAATTCTTATAAAATGCTTTGATGTTGAAGCTTCTATGATGAATATGGTATTCGGAAGCAGTTTAAGCAAGTTTAAATAAGGATTTGTTAACCCTAAACAATTAATTTACTCTGTTGCAAGGTCATCTTTGACCAAGATTTTTTCCGGCAGCCAAACCAAACATTTTCAACTCAGACAAATATGTAAACAACTACATGTGCATTGCTCTTGCTTCAAATTTAGTTAAAAACCATTAAAACTTGTGATTTATTTATTTTTGCAACCAATTGTCATTTTATTTCAGAAGATGAAAATGTTGTTTTAGCACTGTTCAATAACCTGATTTTTCCGAATTACCCAGAAATAGTAAGCTCATTTTTCACAATAATAAAACTAATTACCCCAAACATTATATTCATACTCTACAAATCATTTTTAATCATGTGTATTTTCAGGATCAAAATATATAGATTCATATTATTATTGTCTTATGGGTCAGAAAGAGGATTAGAAGGATATTCTGTGAATTATTGATTGTTCCAGAACTCTAGTTGACCAGGACCATTGTTTGGAAAATATGTACCCTCTTGATTTCCAGGAAAATTGACTGCAATAGTTCTCATGGTTGAGAAAATGTTGTAACATTGTTTTTGTTTTTGTAGAAAGGGTCTTAAGGCCCTGTAGGTGTTTCAGAAACATCAAAACTAATCCGACATATTTTAACACTTCATGCTACAATTCAAAACGTTTAAATTTGAAAAGCCTTTAAAATGGATTTAAAAACATTGGTCACATCTTAATATTTGCCTTAAATTATAATATTTGATTCTTAAACTCACCAGCACAAGCATGATTTAAATTGTGCACACTCTTGAAAAATCTATCCTTATTTTACCAAAACCTTCTTTAAACGAAAAGCTAGTCACAAGCTAATATTGGTTTTAAAATATATATATCTAGTTAAGTTAATAAGCTAGGCCTTGTGACACTGATAAGTCCATTTAGTCTTTAAAAATTTAGGCACAATCCCATAGCTGTTTGGATCTATGTGACGCCTTAACCAATTAAAACATTTAGTTAAAGGAGTAGGCCTTTAAAAGTTGGATGAAAGTGACATAAATCTTATCTTATATGGGCAAGCTAATATTGGACAAAATAAATGGAAATAACATTAAAAATTTACCTCATATCGAAGAATATCAGATTTACCGCCTATATTTTCCTCCTGGTTAAGCAAATCCTTCACGCTATAATCTTTTATCTCTCTAAATATTGGATATGAAAAAATAATAATAAAAAAGATAAAAGACTTTCAATACAAAATCATTAGCGACAGTTTAAATGAAAAGTTTGACAATGATGTCATCCTTTCTGTTTTTTAGAGGTTATGACTAATAACTTTTTGACCAATTTAATTTCATCATCTATGTGATTATTAGAAAACAATGGCCTAAGTTTACATGACGTTGTTTCAAAGCAATTAGTTTTACTAGACACTTATTAAATCACTAATTTAGTGACATGAAATTGGTTCTTCTTGCTTTTCAATAATTCATTAAGAAATTTTTTTTTTTTTAAATTGACTTGGGGAAAATTACAGATTATTGGGAGTGAAAAAATGAATTAATAGAAAAAAGAAATGACTACTTAGGTAAAAGTATCAAATAGAAATGTAATTCTAATAATTAAATACCCCTGAAAAACACGCTTAGTCCTTCTCATCTTCCTTCTTTAGATGTATTTTATTCATTTTTTAAATTAACTATTTATCTACTATTATCAGGTGTGGATCAAATACCTGTCTATGTCTTCTAAATTGACTCCCGTCAAATTTTTTCTCAAATCATTTGTTATTATTTGTGTCCAGAGATGAACCTAAATATAGTGGATCTTTCTAGAAATTAAAAAGACAGTTTGCGTAATCCCCAATTTCCAGATTCATTACTGTACCCTTGAAACTATCATCTGACCATTAATGTGGAATATACTGTTGTTTTCTAGGTTGTCACATTGTCACATTTCTAGAAACCTTAATTGAAAATAATAACATTGATTTCCAATTAATACTTGATCAGACAAATCAAATAAAATTAGACTTCTAAGAATGTCATACCTCCACAATTCAAATTCAACATGACTGTCAAAAATTAAGTCTGGTGGGGGGGGGGTCGTCCCACATCCCCCCCCCCTCCCTTTGAAAAAGACCAAAGAATAGGTATATGGTTGAAATGCATGATCATAGCTCAAATTTTTAAGGCCAGCTCATTGAAAAAAAATTTGACTTTAATAATTTGGGTGCTAGGTAGGGTTGAAAATAATGCCAAAAAAATGTCAGAAAAATGAAAAAAATATTTTTTTTATTTTAAACAAATATCAAAGTGTGGCAAATGTTTCTACATCCATTTTCAAGGGCTTTTCAAAAATATAGTTTTATCTTTAATCATAAAAATGTTCCAGCCTATTTTAACAAAAAATTTTACACAGACCAGACTTTTTAACACCTTTACCCTATGCATAAATTTTAATTTTTTTTTACAAAAGGTATTTTTTAATATCTAAATATTCATTTTAGTAAAGCTTATCGTTTGCATACATACTAATTTATAGTTAGGTTTTGTTACATTCATCATTACAATAGCTATATATCTATAATGATGCGGAATAATTCTATTTGAGTGTTAAAAATCTTCTGCACTCCGCGGCCAAAAATGCGTTTAAATCTTCAATTTTTTTATGTTGTTTGTTTCTCTGCTCCCTTTCCCTTTACGCGGATGACTGACGAGTCCTCTTGGAATTGGATACAGATTTTTTCTGGGACATTAGTATAGACTGGGGAGTTTCCTGGGACTTCACCAGGGAAGTTGGAGTATCTTGGGACCTCATGGCAAAAATGCTAGTCTCCTGGGTTCTCACAACGGAAGTGGTAGTACTCTCTCGGGACCTTACAACTTAAGTGGGAGTCTCTTGGATCACGGAAGTGGGCATCGCTTGGGACATCACCACAGAACTGGGAGTCATCTGGGAGATCACCATGGAACTGGGAGTCAACTGGGACATCACCACGGAACTGGGAGTCAACTGACATCGGGATATTTTAGGGGGTATGGGGGATGACTGGTTTTTGTCACAATACTCCTATATAAATGCATTTGTCTTGTGTTTCATGGTGCGAATTTCAGATATTTATCCTTGAATGGATCCTGTAAACCCGCAATTGTGAACCATACCCCATAATTTACTCTGTTGTAAGGTTGTCTCTGACAAGTTGTACCTCCGTTGAACCCTCCGTCCACTTTCCAAACCAAACATTTTCCAAGGTCCCGCATAAATATAAACAAAAGCCTCATGGAGCTAATAAAACGCAAAGTGCATTAAAAGAACCAATTTAAACATAATTTCAGTGAATCATTTACGAATAAACAGTGAAATTACTTTAACCAAATAATTATTTATTTCAGAAAGATTAAATTGCTTTAGACTTCAATTCAAACAACTATTCCCGTGTCATACTATTTCAGATCGTAAGTTCCTTATGTTTAATTCACAACAATACATTTAAACCTTTATTTGCCGATTCACAACAGTACCTTTAAAACTTTATTGCTGATTTACAACAGGACCTTTAAGCCTTTGTTCAATTCTCAATGATACATATTTCTTTAACCAATTGTTCGTTTACAACAATATTCATGTATTCAATTACACCCAACTATTTTAATATTTATTAACAATCATTATTTATATGCATGTACGCCAATAACAAATTGTATTTTGTAGGAAACTTTGTTACTGAAATATACTTTTATCATCAAGAAGTTCTCATCTATGTATTGAGTATGGGAGTTGTTTGATCCAGCCTATTCGCCTTTGGATTTGTCATCCCTTGAGAAGCTTACTTAGGAAACATATACCCTGCTCTGACCGAAGTTTCCGCTATCTCAAGTTGGATTTCCTTAGCTCCATTATTCGCCTTTGGACTTGTCATCCCTTGAGAAGCTTACTTAGGAAACATATACCCTGCTCTGACCGAAGTTTCTGCTATCTCAAGTTGGATTTCCTTAGCTCCATTATTCGCCTCTGGACTTTTCATCCCTTGAGAAGCTTACTTAGGAAACATACATCCGGCTCTAACCGAAGTTTCCGCTATCTTGAGATGCATTTCCTTAGCTCCATTTCCGCCAATTTTGAGTCATATTCCTATTGATCAGTTCACAGCAATATATTTAGATGTCATCTTTGTTACAGAGAGCGATTTTGGAAGAAAATCACATATTTTACAGCAAAAGCACAAGAAAGCACAGCGGTTTTGGGTTGATTTCAAAATATGAATAGCTTCTAACAGCCACAAAGAAAAGATTTAAGGGTGCCAGTAGCACACCAAACCCTTGATTTTGTCAAAGAGGCATGTTGTAATATCCTATTTTAATAATTTTCAATGAAATAGTGGACAAACTTCTGAACTAAGACAGAACATTAAAACAACAATATATCTGGGGGTTAATAATTTTCCTTCATCACATTACATACTAAATTTCACCTGATAATCTGGATTAACTTTGACAAAAGTAAGAATATTTTTCTGATACTTCTCTGGAATATGTTTACCCATCCAAATGAAATGCAGTTTTCTAAATATTAATAAAATTTAAACAAAAATTCTAAAAATTGGTGTATTAATTATATTTTCAATTCAAATATTTTTAATTACTTTTTTATAAATCTCCCTTGAGAGACTGTAAGCGTTATTTCAAGTGACCCTCCATTTGAAGAGTGATTTGTCTTAGCCTTAACAGTACCCTTCAAACCTATAGCTTTGACTGGATTTCAAGAGTACTATTGCAAATTGAACATTGCCATCTTTACATTGGGAGTCAATTGAAATTGTGCTTAATATCCCTTTAATATTTTTGTGAAATTAAATGAAATTTTAAAATATAACAAACTTTTTAATAAAATATTTTGTGTTACAGTTAACGGACTTTTAAAAAAAAAGATTTTACTTTGGAACTGTGTAAGATGTTTCTGGTTCTATAGGTAGATCCACTGTTATAGCCTGTGTGTTTCTCCTATAATTAATAACTCAAACTTTTTTTGTAATATTAAATAGGGCTGGGCACATTCCATCTTTTTGTAGCCATTTTGGTACAGTTAGTTCCAACAGTTAAAAAAGAAAAATCTTAGGTAGCTATTAATTTCAAAGGTAAGAACTTAAGCCCTTTTTTATGGTTAAAGCTACAGATCTAAAAACTACAGGGTGAGTAAAAAAAAGTGCTTTTGCGGCACCTGGTGCAAAATTGTACTTCTTTTTGCAACTCTCCTGTAAGTTTTTTTGGTACTCCAATGGCCCAAAAAAAAATACGCAAATCTTTTTCTCTCTCAAAATCTAAAATTTGTTAAAGATTGAATCAAAGAATCACAGAAAATTTGTCATTTTGCTAAGGATTCTAATTCATATTTTGCTTTATCTGTGTAACAGTTGGGAAAAAAAGTTATTTGCGGTTTTATTTTCAAAAATGTAAAATTGTAATAAGAACATTCACAATTTCTAGTAATGGCCTAATTTTTAAGGAAAAGTTATTTAAATTCTATAGTTCCTTTCTTCTTATTATATTCTTAACCCTATTCCCGCTGGGGGGGGGGGGTCAATTTGACCCCCCCCTGTAGTTTTTTTTACATAACTCAAAAATTATTGGTCTGAGGCTGTTGAAATTTTCTGACTTTTCTTACATACCCAAAGCCCTCCCTTTAGGCCTAAAACCGGGCTTTAATACTAACTGCCTGAGTCCTCAGGCACACTGCCTGAATGACTGCTTTTGCCTGTAGCAAACTAAATCTTTGTTTTGACCCACTTTCACTTGTCAGATTTTGATAAAATTTAGCTTTTTGGAAAGCCTATGACATAAGAAAATGGATTGCACAAGTTTTGCGAAAAAAAAATTGCAAATTTTTTGCAAAAAACCTGTCAAAGGAAATTTGCACATTTTTAGTTTTTCTTGATTAAAAATCAGGTTATTTAAAATTTTGCATATTTGAAATGGCATGGTCAAGGGCTTTTCAAAAATGTATAATTTGTCATTTTTTGGACATTTTTTTTTTGCAAACATTTTTACTATAAAACTGGATTTTGCGATAAAAAATTCAATTTTTGCAAATTTGCAAATTTTTTTCAAATTGACCCCCCCCCAGCGTATCCTGGTTTTCAAGTACCCCAGCGGGGATAGGGTTAAGTATTTATGCTGTTCAGTTGAAACCTTAAGAACCATTGAAAAACAATTTTTCTGTAAAAATTATACCAGAACTGAAAATTACAACTTTCTAATTACAATTTTGCAAAGTTTTTGAGGTTTTGTGCTTCAATCTTTTGAAAATTTTAGATTTGGATAGAAACAATTTACTTACAATTTTTTGTTTTTCTGAACATCGATTTTGAGAGAAAAAAAGGTTTACGGATTTTTTTTGGACAATTGAAGTACCCAAAAAACTAACAAATCAAAAAAATATTGAAAAAACACTAATTAGGAGAGTTGGACAAAAAAAGTATAGTTTTGCACCAGATGCTGCAAATCACATTTTCTTTATTTACTCTTGAAAAATGGATGTAGAAACAAGTGTCACACTTTGATATTTGTTTTATACAAAAAGAAATATTTTTTACATTTTTTGGAGCTTTTTTTGGCATTTTTTTAACCCTCCCACCCAAAACTATTAAGAGTATTAATCTGATTTGTTCAATGAGCTGGCCTTGAAAAATTGGGCTATGAACATGCATTTCATACCTATTCTTTAAGCTTTTTCTAGTCTATTTAAGTCAATGCATATATTCAGACCCACCCAGCCCTTATAGGGTTAAATGTGTTAAAACATTTCAGAATAATGAATATTTAGTTAGAATATGCGGATATGATGTTACAGACATTTCTAACAAGTTTAACTGAACATCAGATATGTATTCAAATTTTGCAAAAACAAAATATTCTCATATTCTAACAAAATATTCTCCTATTCTAACAAAATGTTCTCTATTCTAACAAAATATTCTCATATTATAACAAAATGGTCTCATATTCTGACAAAATGTTCACCATTTCAAAATTGATACATTGAAAACATGCCTACAAACAAACCATTAAACGAAAACAGAATTTACCTTAATCCTTTTTGTACCAAAAATTCCCATTAAACATAGAAAACATTGTGCTTACATATATTTATCTATTATTAGGGATTTTAATGTTTTCATTTTTTTTAAAACAGTTGTTTTGTTATGAAAACAACAAAGAAAAATTGGAAACAAAATGATCGTTATTAAAAAACTTGTCGTTTTGTTAATAATTGTTAACAACGACCCTGACTGAGGGACAAACTCTGAGACTGAGGTAGCCCAGCCTCCTCTTTGGGGAGATAAAGAGAAGTCTTGGCATGTTGGAGATATTAGAGATCCTCTGGGTAACCTCTCAGAAACTTCCCAGACTACAGCTGATGAAATCCTTGTTCTTGCATATGATCAAGTCAGGGATCTGCTCCACAACTTGATCAAATTTCAGCCTGCTAGAAAGAGGAGGAAAGCTACCTTATTGAAGCGTTGAACAACTTGTTGTTTATTGAAGTAAATTTGTAAAAGATTGTTACATAAAATCAAAGAAAGGGTCTCCAGATATCCTCTTTGTGTTGATTATGATCCAATCATCATGAGGATTAGATGATTACAACTATAACAGTAATTAAAAGATGTATGAAATTATATATAGATTCTTAACAATATATATATGCTTTGTTTTGCTTTTCAATCCTTTTCAAATACAATTGTTTTGTTTTTCTGAAAAAAAGATCAGTTTAAAAAACAATATCTAATTCTGTCAAAAAAATCATGAAAGGATGTAAGCCTAGCCAAGAGGATGGTTTTTTTGGACGAACTGCGTATATAATCAGTGAGGGGAGAATAAATACCCTGTTATCTTATGTTTGCCTATTCTTAAGTTTAATTTGCTATTTATAGCACCAAGCCAAGCCAAATTTACCAACAGCATCACATGTTAGGGAAGGGGTAGGTTCATTGATCTGAACCTGGAAAATGGGGGCAGGTGGCTATGCTAGGGGCAGTTGAGTATGATCTCTGAACGAGCACAGTGCTGTGGAGTGGTTCGTAATCATGATGTTCTCTCTAATCACTATATATTGCTATAGACTGTTTGATTATGTTTTTAATATCATTAATAAAGTTATCATCTTGTGTTAATTGTGTTATATTTTGATATCGTGAAGCAAACAAGTAATATGAGTATTTATTGAAATTAAGTCTGTATTATTTTAATGTTTCACTTACCCTCCTATTGTAGTTTTAGGATCTTTCTGAGTTATTGATAAGTTAGTTAATTCTACTCTGGGATCTGCAAATATCAAAAGATTAAATCAAAACCAATTTGAAAGGGTTTAAAAGTGTACTTTTAAGTAACCCTCCATGGAAAGATGAAAATGCCCAATTTACAATGGTACACTTGAAACTTTAATCTGATCAAGTGTGAATTAGATTTATATTTTTATTTGAACCTGTTTTATTTGATTTGCAGTTTCCCAGCAAAACATGCACATTTATTTTTTGCTTATAAGAAGCTATGAAGAAAAAATTAGAAGAATTAACTTGTTTCATCAGGAAAACGACAATATCTTCCACATTATCAGATGAGAGCCATTGTAAATTGGGCATTGTCATCTTTCCATGTTTACTAAATTATGCTTCAGTCTCTTTAACCCTTTTAAATGTCTGAGAAATTCACTTAAATGTTTAACTTCACTAAAACACTATGAGGGGAAAGCCAAACCATTTGTTTGTATTATTTCAAACTTACTAAAACCATTCTGAACTTACAAACTGAAGGTTAGGCATATAATTTTTTTTTCATATTTAAAATTATAATAAGTTACAAAAGGTTTGAACCAAAATTTATTTCAGTTTTGCAGAATTTGATGGAATTGTGTGGAATTACATGGAATTTGGCAGAATTCATGGGCAAGTAAAACTCAATTTCACTAAAGCTTTAAAGAAATCTGCATTTGAGTTCCTGAATGATTAATAAAATCTATATATGAGGTGTTAACTGTTAATGTAAATGAAAATAAATTTCTGAATAATTGAAAACATGTGAGTGCATTAAACAGTTCATTGTTCTGAACAAAAACATATGTGTCACTCATATTGATTACCTTTTTGAGTGAACAAAAAAAGTTCATTTCTTGAAGATGGCCAAACACAGTAAAAACTAAAATTTCGAAATTAGCCTAAAGTTTAGTCAGTCTTCTTATTAAATTTACTTCACATTAAGACAATAAATTTATTTCTTTTTCGGCTCTTTATATATCACATAAAAAGATATTTTAATGTTATCTATTTATTTTTTTGCAAAATAATTTTGTGACCTCAAGCCTTTTCTTCTTTTTTTTTGTTTGCCCAGTTTTAGTTGCATATTAGAAATTCGAATTTTTTAGGTCTCTACATTATTAGCTTTTAAATAAGAGGAGCTAGAATAGATTTTAAGTTGGTAGATAAAAAAGTGTGATTCAATAAATCTAATGTTTCATCAAAAGAGCATTTTTCTTTGTTTTAGCCTATTATATTTGCTGTATCACCAGATTATATTTGGTTGTTTAATTCAATAAACTAGGACATTTCATGGAAAACATAAAAATTCGTAAAAAATATTCTACCCACATATAAAGTTTTTCTTTTTATATATTGTTCATACTTTTTATAAGGATTTCATATATACTATCTGACTATGAAATGCATAACTTTTTTGGTCAAAATGTTACAGGTCCTTTTTGACCACCCTTTTTCAACATATGATATTTAAAGTACACAATTTAACCAATTAAACATATTTATGGGTTTACTGATAAATAAATAAGGTATTAAATCAATGTGTAGGGCCAATAAATAACAGAAGACACTTTTTTAATACATTTAGTTTTTCTAAAAAAATTAAATTTTAACAAGATCGAACTTTTATCATTCATTTTTTTGGTGGCTTCGCAAATTATTTCCCAGGTTTTCTTAATATTTGATTGGTTGTCAGTAAGTTTATTTTCAAAATACATTTTTTTGCTTAGTCTCAGTAACTAGTTATAAAAGTTTTTAACCTTTTAAAATTCATTCTGTTCTCAAATGACGGATTTATATTCATTTTGTTAGAAAATTGAAGTTTTGTTTTCCTAGAAGCTAGTAAATCTTGAGTGATCCATAGTTCAATTTTGTGAAAGTTCTTGTTAAATTTAAAGTTTAAAACTGGAAAAAAACAATATATATAAATCGTTAAAAGTACTACTGAATAGATCAAAGCTTTTTTAAGCATTACTTTCTCCTGTAACATCACTCCAAGACAAGGCTTTAAGGGCATTTTTGAAATTATTGATACTTTGTGCTGAGAAATCACATTTATGAATAGTTTTTTGATGCAAATTAGCCTTGTTTTCAGTGAAAATATGGAAAATAGGAAAATGATCACTAATCCTTGAAGTTAAAATGCCACTTGGATAACAATCATAGGTTGCATTTGTCCATAAGTGGTCAATTACTGTAGCAGAACTACGGGTCACTCTAGTTGGTTTTGTAATAATCTGAATAAATCCTTGGCTAAACATGTTATTTGAATAAGTAATAGTATTAGTATTTAGATAAGTATTTTGATGGTGCGTTGAGATTCCTCCATTTCTTTTTTTAATTTCTCACAATGCTGAGCATATTTCACTGTTTGGTTAGATTCTCTAATTTCATGATTCTTGTTTACGATGCGATCAACTGTACCAAAATCTTCAAAAACTAGATGGCTTAGGAAAACAACAATCTGGTAGAGTGCCTTAAAAGCTTTATGGTTTGGGGTTGGAGAGTTTTCATCTGATACTATTGGTGCATGTCCTTTCATAATATTTACTACCTTTTCGTAAACTTTGCATTGTGATTCGGATCCGTGTTCAGGTAGGGTCTGTTCGGTAATTTCGGGACCTAATCGCATTGATTCCCCTAAAGGGCTTACTTTTTTACCCTCTTTCTCAAGTGAGCGTTGTTTACTGTTTTCATCAGGTTAGGCATTACTGTTAGTAGGTAGTTCAATTACTTTCCTAGATGCAGGTGTGTTTAAATTGTGAACATTTTCTTTTAGTATAAATTGTAAAATAAAAACACACAAAAAAGTTTGGGTTTGAGGGGTCTGTCCTATTGAATGTAGTACTGGATTTAGATTTTATCTATTTTTAACAAAATATATTTATTTAGTATCATTTCAGGGTTAGGTTGGGTTAGGACAATTTCTGGGCCCAACGCTGCGGCTAAGGACAGGCTAGGGGGCCATGTGCTGTGACCAGGACAGCCCTTTAATTTTAACAATTTTCAACAAAATTAGTATATGTTTAGGGTTAGATTAGTTTATGACAATTTCTTGTCCAAGCACTGTGGCTAGGACAGGCTAGGGGTCCAAACACTGTGGCTAGGACAGGCTAGGGGTCCAATCACTGTGGCTAGGACATGCTAGGGGGCCAAGTGCCACATCCAGGACAGGCTAGGGGGCTGGGGGATGCAACCACATGAGCAATTATATCCATATGAGATTTTGCAGACGTTATAAAAAAATTGTTGATTTTCATAATTTTTAGATATCAAATGCTGTTAGAGGCAAATTTATTTGAAATTTGATCATCAAGAAATCTTCCTGGGGTCAGTCAAGATCCCGAACAAAATTTGTGGGCCATCAGTTTAGCCATTCTGACGTTAATTGGATGCAAAAAGACAAACAGAGAGACAGATAGACAGACACACAAAGTATATATAGATAGATGAAATTCTAAGAATATAACTTTTATAACTCATGTTGCTTTTTTCTTCACTTCTGAACTGAACAATTGTTGAATTAATCATGATAAATTGTTTGAAAAGTAACTGACTAAACTTGTTGTGTAGACTGTAAATAGGCTGGGGCATGGGACTAGGTAGCCAAGCTGGTTTTATAGGACTGCAGGGGTATTCATGATTTGTTTTAAATTCAGAAAAAAATATTTTTTTATTATTTTAGAATAAATCATGTTTAATTTTAAATAGATTATTATTTGATATAAAAATCTCCCCTGCATTACGCACAGGGGAGGGGAGAAGGATAGGGGAGAGGGGGATTGGTAAGGGGTAAGAGATGGGGGTTAAGGATATAGAAATAATTCAGGTATGCCCCCTCCCCTCTTGCTTGCTAACTGCATATGTGACTCTTTCAATTATTTCTTCTACCCCCCCCCCTCCCAAACCCCAAAAAATCTGGGATTATCGATGTTATGGACAAAGTTTTTTTGATTTTTTTTATTTTTTAATATTTTAGACTTTAAAAAAATTGTGATCTTAAACAATTTAAAATTATTTTTGGAACAAAGAAAAAGGTTATGTTGTTAGATAAGTTTTGTAGTTTGATAAGTTTTTTGATGATAAGATATGTTTTGATATGTTTTGTGGTGATAAGTTTTGTGGTGATAGGTTTAGTGACGATATGTTTTGAATGGGCTCCAACATCTTGATTTGCTGTGTGCCATCATGCATCAGATTGCAAAATAGAGTTCAACCTTTTACTGAGAATTTGGTCTGCAGAATAATGCAAAAGCGGAATAGTGCAATTTTATGCAAAATGAAGTTTAGGAAAATTTGCTCTTTCTTCTGCAAAAGTTGTGCAATAGTTCTGTGAATGGAAACCCTAAGTACATGCTGCCAAATTATAACCTTAGAACTTCTGTTATCTATTCAAAACTGTAATTAATAGGCTTACATAGTGATAGGCAAATTGAAACAGCTTGTAACCTCCCCCCCTATCCCCCGGGCCCTAGATATACCCTGCCCCCCCCCCCATAAAAAACTAGATCTGGCTGATTTTAACTAAATATATACTTAACAAGCCAAGAAATATATTATTCCTGAAACAGCTAAGACATCAGGGAGGAAAAGGAGAGGAAAGGAGAGAAGAGGGGGAGAAAACAATTTTTGCATAGAAAGGGGAGATGTTAAAAAATTTCAGATCTGGTTCAAGACAATCCATGAATTAGCTAGATAGTTAAGAAGATAAACAAAGAGATTCTTCACCTCCTTTTCTTAGGACACTCCCCCCCAATAAACCTAAACTCACACTTGTGGGAAAATAGGATATATCCAATAGACATTGTTTCAGTCTGTTTTTAGATTGTTTTCTGTATCCAGTGTCTGTAAATATGATCATATTAACCCTCTCTCTGCTGGGGTACTTGAAAACCAGGATATGCTGGGGGGGGGGGGTCAAATTGACCCCCCCTCTCTAAATCCCATGTTTGATGTCCAAATATGACAAATGATACATCATTGGAAAGCTCTTGTGCTCTACTTTTAGAATCTGCATAAAAATTTGCAAATTTGCAAAAATTGAATTTTTTATCGCAAAATGTTTGCAAAAAAAAATTTGTCCAAAAAATGAAAAATTATACATTTTTGAAAAGCCCTTGACCATGCCATTTCAAATATGCAAAAATTTTTGCAAGATTTTAAATAACCTGATTTTTAATCAAGAAAAACTAAAAATGTGCAAATTTCCTTTGAGAGGTTGTTTGCAAAAAATTTGCAATTTTTTTCGCATGACTATTGCAATTCGTTAGCTTTCTAAAAAGCTAAATTTTATTAAAATCTGACAAGTGAAAGTGGGTCAAAACAAAGATTTTGTGCTACAGGAAAAAGCAGTCATTCAGACAGTGTGCCTGAGGACTCAGGCAGTTAGTATTAAAGCCCGGTTTAAGGCCTGAAGGGAGGGCTTTGGGTATGTAGGAAAAGTCAGAAAATTTCAACAGCCTCAGACCAATTCTTTTTGAGTTTTGTAAAAAAACTACAAGGGGGGGGTCAAATTGACCCCCCCCCCCAGCAGGAATAGGGTTAGAGAAAAGAATGGCTAAATTTCATGTTCATGTTTAGGGGTAAGCTGAATTTGCATCTTACCAAACAGATACAACAACAGCTACCACCAGTCTAGTAGAACACTTTTTCTTGATCTGATTCATCTTATTCTAAAACTTTATACGGCTTTGGCAATAAACAGGTTTTCAGTAGTAAACTTGACCAATGACTTAGATTTTCAAAACTGTTAGATAATGTGTATACAACTTGGCCATTAACCCTAAAAAGGATGATGGGGGGGGGGGGTGGTTTTTTGCAGTACCACTCTCATTTTATTTCTATCTCAAATTATCAATCATTATTTTGAAATAAACATTTTACAAGTCACAAACTTACACAATATTGGATCTTACTTTGGTTTTTTTCGGGATACTTGCTAGGACAGGTGTGTGTCTTGGCTTTCTGGTTAAAATAAACACACATGTTTACAAACAGAGTTGGAATCAAAGCATTCTAAACATGGTTCATGTTCCAATTTTATTTGATATGTTACACATTTCACATTACACATTAATTTGTATCATTACAATTCACAGGCTATAAACTTCAGAGTGCTCAATCAAAGCATGCCAAGCAAATTCAAAGTTTCATGAGCATTTTAATGATTAGCTTTTTAGTGTTCAATCAGGAAAAAGCTTAGATCCATATCATCCATATTGCCATATAACTAGAATTGACAAGTTTTAATGTATATTAGGTATGGGAATTTATTTGTGGCACATTAGATTCCAAGTTTTGAGAAGGGAACTTTGGTTTAGTTTCAAGCACTTTGACAGCAATTTGGCAATTAACTCCCTAATGGTTAACTCCCTAAAATCCCAATTAGGTAAGATAATTGTTAAATCTGACTTTTCAAAAAGAAATAAATGGCTTGTTAAAAATGCATACTGAGTGAATGTTTAATAGTTTAATGGCATACAAGAATTTGTAATACTTTTATTTCTATAGTTATTTGAAAAATGTGATTCAGTCCAGACATTGAACAATTTTTGCCTAGTAAAATCTAAGTTCCAACTAAAAATTAGTTTAAACATAAAATTATTTTGATGTTAGAACAGGTGCAGCCTACAGGGAACACATACATTTTTTTGTGATAGGTGGGAGAGTGGGGGGATTAGAAGAATAAAATTTGACCTGAGATTATGTCACTCTAATAGTTGTATTATAAACAACCCTTTTTAACATTTACCAAAGGTTAAAAATGTATAACAATTATAGATTTACAGATCCATTTCTAATATGGTTACATGCTTTCATCTGATACTAATTATTATACAAAATATTGAGGATGATAATTATACTTTGTTAATTATGTATTTTTCAAATTACTACACAGATGCAAAACCTTCTTGTTTGCATGTATTTCATCTCATAATAATTGTTGTACTAAAATTTTAGAGATTGTAATTAAGCTTTGATAAATACATAATTACATATTTCTCATAATATTACACAGATGCAAAATCTTCTTGTGTGCACATATTTCTTTTTATAATAATTGTTGTACTAAAATTTAACTTAAATTTAATTTAAGTTAAATGTTCAGAAAAACAAAAAATTGTAAGTAAATTGTTTCTATCCAAATCTAAAATTTTCAAAAGCTTAAAGCAAAATTGTAATTAGAAAGTTGCAATTTTCAGTTCTGGAATAATTTTTACAGAAAAATTGTTTTTCAATGGTTCTTAAGGTTTCAACTGAACGGCATAAATTCAATACTTTAGAATATAATAAGAAGAAAGGAACTGAGAATTTAATCAACACAATAATCAACACAAAGAGGATATCTGGAGACCCTTTCTTTGATTTTTTGTAACAATCTTTTCCAAATTTACTTCCACAACCAACAACCAACCAACCAATAAGGTAGCTTTCCTCCTCTTTCTAGCAGGCTGAAATTTGATCAAGTTGTGGAGCAAGGATTTCATCAGCTGTAGTCTTGGAAGTTTCTGAGAGGTTACCAAAGAGGATCTCTAATATCTCCAACACGCCAGGACATCTCTTTATCTCCCCAAAGAGGAGGCTGGGCTACCTCAGTCTCAGAGTTTGTCCCTCAGTCAGGGTCGTTGATAACAATAACGATCATTTTGTTTTCAATTTTTCTTTGTTGTTTTCATAACAAAACAACTGTTTTAAAAAAAATGAAAACATTAACCTCCCTAATTATTGAAAAATATAAGTAAGCACAATGTTTTCTATGTTTAATGGAAATTTTTGGTACAAAAAGGATTAAGGTAAATTCTGTTTCCGTTTAATGGTTTGTTTGTAGGCATGTTTTCAATGTATCAATTTTGAAATGGTGAACATTTTGTCAGAATATGAGACCATTTTGTTATAATATGAGAATATTTTGTTAGAATAGAGAACATTTTGTTAGAATAGGAGAATATTTTGTTAGAATGTGAGAATATTTTGTTTTTGCAAAATTTGAATACATATCTGATGTTCAGTTAAATTTGTTAGAAATGTCTGTAACATCATATCCGCATATTCTAACTAAATATTCATTTTTCTGAAATGTTTTTACGCATTTAACCCTATAAGGGCTGGGTGGGTCTGAATATATGCATTGACTTAAATAGACTAGAAAAAGCTTAAAGAATAGGTATGAAATGCATGTTCATAGCCCAATTTTTCAAGGCCAGCTCATTGAACAAATCAGATTAATACTTTTAATAGTTTTTTCAATATTTTTTTTAATTTGTTAATTTTTTGGGTACTTCAATTGTCCCAAAAAAATCCGTAAACCTTTTTTTTTCTCAAAATCGATGTTCAGAAAAACAAAAAATTGTAAGTAAATTGTTTCTATCCAAATCTAAAATTTTCATAAGATTGAAGCACAAAACCTCAGAAACTTTGCAAAATTGTAATTAGAAAGTTGTAATTTTCAGTTCTGGTATAATTTTTACAGAAAAATTGTTGTTCAATGGTTCTGAAGGTTTCAACTGAACAGCATAAATTCAATACTTAAGAATATAATAAGAAGAAAGGAACTAGAGAATTTAAATAACTTTTCCTTAAAAATTAGGCCATTACTAGAAATTGTGAATGTTCTTATTACAATTTTACAAATTTTCTGTGATTGTTTGATTCAATCTTTAGATTTTAGATTTTGATAGAAATCATTTTTATACAAATTTTTGCTTTTTCAAACTTTTGATTTTGAGAGAGAAAAAGGTTCGGGTATTTGTTGTTGGGCCATTGGAGTACCAAAAAAACTTACAGGAGAGTTGCAAAAAGAAGTACAATTTTGCACCAGGTGCCGCAAAAGCACTTTTTTTTACTCACCCTGTAGTTTTTAGATCTGTAGCTTTAACCATAAAAAAGGGCTTAAGTTCTTACCTTTGAAATTAATAGCTACCTAAGATTTTTCTTTTTTAACTGTTGGAACTAACTGTACCAAAATGGCTACAAAAAGATGGAATGTGCCCAGCCCTATTTAATATTACAAAAAAAGTTTGAGTTATTAATTATAGGAGAAACACACAGGCTATAACAGTGGATCTACCTATAGAACCAGAAACATCTTACACAGTTGTTGTATCTTAGACTGATCTCAATAAGAGTGAACAGTCCCTTAGATACAACGGGATGAGGATCAGTACCGCCCGAACTTTAGAAGAGAAGACACACATATACAGCCGTCCGTCTTCCACTATTGTTCCGGGCCTCGTTCTACCAGCACAGCTTACAGAGGGCTTCTACGTATATGAGCATTGATGAAGATACAATGATGAACCAAGCACACGGATTGACACTAGATGATGGACATGATGAGGACTTGATTGCGAGGAGACAGGAGGAGACAATGAAGGAGATGTACAACTTCCTTGGTGAGATATCTGAGAAGATCCAAACATTTAATACCACCATGAGGAGAAGTGCAAGCTCTGGTCAGCCACCAGTGGTTCCTGATGGTAAACTGTCGGACACAGGGTTGGCTTGGGAAAGAGAAATTGATCTCTACCCAGATGCAAGTAGGGATGTTATTATATCTCGCTTGTATAACCAGGTCTGGGACCTGCTCCAGAAGATGAAGGAGCGTGTTGCCCAACGGACCTGGAAAACAGAGGATCAGGAAATAGTTGAGGGATTGATCAACATAATGGTCCTATCTGTACGTAATAATATGTCAACTGATCATATCCTTAAAGATCAAGTTGAGAATCATGCTGTATAAAGACCATGATTCGTCTGTATTGATTATAATGTCAAAGTACATAAAATGATAATATAATGCTGTAATGTACAATGATGTATAAATAAATACATGTATGAAATGTTTATTATGGAGAGAGGGTGTTGTCAGGTTACCAAGATGATGAGTAATATCAGGATTGAATCCAAGTATAAGATTAGTCCCATATATGAAAGTATCAGGTTTCAACGATAGTGTATTACACAAAGGTCCAATCTGATAAAATATTTAGACTTAGTGTGTATCATTATCTATAAAATTAAATGAGTTCGATTCATTGCTCTGAGATGATTGAATGTGAAAATACAACAATCATTTATGGCGCAGTGTACCGGAGAGTCTTTTTAGTTTGGGTTTCCATGAGATAATCCATACTTAATTAGACCTTAAACTCGAACCTATGCAACCATTAAAACACCCCCCCTCCACCTCTTCATATTTTGCCCTCAAGTTAAATATTTTTAAAGCTTGGGGGATAAAAGTGAAAGGTTAAGGGTTGAAAGGGTTAAAAGCAATAAAATTCAACAGCTGTATGAGTTAGCTAAATACCTTTAAAAACATTTCAAATTGAGAGCTGATTGTTTTGATCTAGAATTGAAACTCAGCCTAGTTAGTTTTATTATTGTTGAAAAATAGACTCAAAATATAAACTAACAACTCAGCTAATTTAATATTGCAAGATTGAAAAGATGAATCATATTGCAAAATTATATAAGCTGGAAAGCCCCCCCCCCCCCACCTGGCTCTAATGAAACGTTATAAATGATATTTAAAATGTGCAAGTCAAATTAAAATAGGAAAATTTGTCTCATGTTGATATCTACGTTTATGAGATTAAGCATGAGTAAAGATAGATCCATTAAATATATTTAAAAAAAATTAAATTAAATGTGTTGAATGATGAAATATCTACTCACGCCCAGTACTAGAATTGTTAAACATT